GGGAGGTGCTCAGTGCAGAGAGAGCACCCCAGAGTGGGGACACCCCAGCCCCTGTCCTAGGTGACCACAGCAGTGTTGGGGGTTGAGCCCCCCAGGAATCCTGGGCCCAGCCTTGTTGGGGTTACGAGGACTCTGCCAGACAGGAGAGTGGAAGGGGAGTCATCGAGGGCAGGGAGGCCTCTGGGTAAAGGAAGTGGGAGCGAGGACTCAGCTCCTTTCGCTAACCCACTTCACCGGGGTAGTGCAGAAGCCAGGAAAGTTCCCCACAATAGCGGGACCATTCCCCCGCTTACACAAGTGAACACGGGGGCATCTCGGGGTATGAGACCAACTCCCCACATGACCCTATGGGGCTTCCTAAACAGGCAAAGCACAGAGCTGCCCAGAGGATCTCCATCTACCCATGTAGCTAAGGCAGCTGGCAGAGCTAAGAAAACTGGCACAAGCTACTCATCCCCTTCCACTGGCAGACAGAGATAAGCCAGCCAGCACCGCCAGCCCATTTCCATACCATGCCCAGACCCCAAACCCACCTGCCTGCAGCCTGAGAGGCATGAGGGCTCCAGATATTGCTGGTGCTGTTCAGCCACAGCCTTCTCAGCAACAGGAGACGCAAGGCAGGGCAGCGTTGGGAAAGCGTCTAAAAGCCAAGGGTTGGGTTATCAAGCCGGCTGCCTTAATGAAATGAGCAAGTCATCCTCCCTCAGGGCGAGGCTGAGCATCACTTTTCATTGGTAGATCTCAAAGCGCTTCATTACCCCCATTTCACAGATGGGGAAACTGAGGTACATAGAGATCAAGTGAATTCCCCAAGGTCACCCAGCAGTCTAGTGGCAGAGCCCAGAACAGGTTTCCTGAGTCCCAGCCCAACACTCTATCCCCTAGGCAACACTGCCTCTGGACTCAACACCCGCCTGTTGCCAGCCAGGATGTTCATGGCGATAACGGACACATTGCACTCTCTACTCCGGGCAGCATCACCAGAGCTGCGAGTGCATGTGGCAGACACTGAAGAGACTCTGCGTTTGCTCCCTCAACAACCAGTTCTGCAACCACAGAGCCAGACATCTCCTCCCCACTCAGAGAAATCTTATCTGTGAAGTAACCTGAACATGCCTCACTCTGCAAACACCTAATCCTGTCTCTGGGTACAGCCTACTCAGGTTAACCGGGCTCTCTGCTGCCCAGGATTGGCCTTTGCCATTATGGGGCTGGAGGCATGGTACCAGTCCGCCCCCTGCCGCCCAGCCCCGGGGTACGAGTCCTAAGACCCAGTTCCAAACAGGACTTGTACCACAAGCACGCCAGCTATCATCTAGTACAGAGGCTCACTTCTCCCCCGCCTGTGATCCTGACTGGAGCAGGTGGGGGGGTCTCCAGGTTTTATGGCTGGTAAATACTGATGCACATACGGCACTGGACACCCAGATCCTTTATTTATACACAGAACAGGCGCAGCGTGGGTCAGCCTTCCACACAGACCCACCCCCGTCTCAACCCTGCTTGGAGGGCTCTCTTTCAGGGGCAACTTTGGAGCTCAGCCTCCCAGGCCCACTCATTCCCTTGGCTCTCTGCAGAGGGGCCAGTCAGCGGCAGCCATTTCCTGCAGCTCCATTAGGTTCTGCACAGAGTTCACCAGGTCACTTCCCAAAGTGTCACCACATACTATAGCTAGCAGAGGATACCAATGACCCCGGGCCACTGGTACACTCAGGGCCGACCCTAGGGAAAATGGCGCCTGGGTTAGGGTGACCAGATGTCCCGACTTTATAGGGACAATCCCAATTTTTGGGTCTTTTCTTACATAGACTCCTATTACCCCCCACCCCCGTCCCGATTTTTCACATTTGCTCTCTGGTGACCCTAGCCTGGGTCAACTTGTATTTTGGCACCCCTGGACCCCGCTGCCTCCCTATTGCCTCCCCACCATCACCCCGTCCCCCAATGCCTCCCACCCATCCCCGCATCGACCCTGGACCACGCTGCCTCCCTGGGCACCAGCCCCTCTGCCTCTTCCTCCCTCCATTGCCCCAAGCTCCCTTCTGTGACCTCTCACCCCAGGCCCGCCCTGCTCTTTGCCTCTTGAGCATGGTGCCCCTCTGACCATGGCACCCTGGGTGGTCTCCCCAGTCACCCAACCATAAGGCCGGCCCTGGGTGCACTGGCCAGGGACCCAAAGTTAAAGGTTCTGTCTCATCACCCTTCCCCTGAACCATCCAATCTCCCAGACAAGGTGGCTGGAACGAGGTGTGAACTATGCCAGTTTAGCCTCCGTGAGCAGCTACACACTGGCCTCGTCTGTCCTGGGGCTGGGCCCCAATTTCAGCCATCAGTGGCCTGCCCCAGGAGAAGCTCCAACTGTTGAAACCTTTAGAATAGACAAGCTAAACGGCTCTTAGCCATGACTGGCTCTGGAGCAGGGCTCACCGCAGTTTATGCCAGTGCCGCCAGAGCTGAAAGAAATGCGCAAGGTAGATGGCCCCATCTCTCTCTACAGCTTCCCTAAAGTGGGTCAACAAAATGCAAAAAGTGACCACAGTGGAGATTCTGAGTCACAAAACATTTATTTCCTCTTGCTCCCCACATACAGAATTTCAAAACTGCATTTAACCAAGGGGAAAAACCAGAAAAGAAAGTCACTTATCACAATGTATCTGAGCGGCAGTGAGTGAATATCCGTTAAGTGAAAGTTTGGTTAGAAAAAGGCCAAACAGATATTGAGATGCGATCACAGTATTTCTGAAGGAGCCGTAAGCAAAGCCACCAACGTGTACAATCCAACCACACAGCTCCCCATCTAGCCAGTGGCCCAGAGCTTGGACTATATTTCAAAGCATTTTATAGAGGTCTAGACGTGAGAGCCCCATTGACCTTAATGAAATTGGCACTAAATTATCCAGGTGGTAATTTAATAATTCAGGGGATAATGTTTGGCATATCCAGCTATGTTTCTCATGAATGTAGCAAAACATCTTCATCTGAATATGTACAGGGGTATTTATTGGCATATTTCACTCATTCACAGCACCTGGTGATGCGGCTAATTTGCACTTCCCATTGAGTTCATATAGCAGAGCGTAGTCTAATCCAAAGTATGGTGGGTTCACACTTAATAAAACACCAAAGGGAAGATTAAGAAACAGTTTAACATTTTTAGCAATGACGTGGAAGAAAACATAAAAGCATCACCGAAAGTTTGCAGATGACACAAAAATTGGGAGAGTGGTAGATAACGAAGAGGACCGGTCACTGATACAGAGAGATCTGGATTGCTTGGTAAACTGGGCGCAACTAAACAATATGTGTTTTAATACAGCTAAATGTAAATGGATACATCTGGGAACAAAGGCAGCCGGCCATATTTACACGATGGGAGATTCTACCCTAGGAAGCAGGGACACCGAAAAAGATTTGGGGGGGTGCGGTGGATCATCAGCTGAACATGAGCTCCCAGTGCAATGCTGTCGCCACAAGAACTAATGTGATCCTGAGCTGCACGAACAGGGGAATCTCGAGTAGGAGCAGAGAGGTGATTTTCCTTCTATATTTGGCACTAGTGTGACCACAGCTGGAATCCTGTGTCCAGTTCTGGTGCCCACAATTCAAGAAGGATGTTGGTAAATGGGAGAGAGTTCAAAGAAGAGCGACAAGAATGATGAAAGGATTAGAAAACCTGCATTACAGTGAGAGACTCAAAGAGCTCCATCTATTTACTTTAACAAAGTGAAGGGGTGGTTGATCAAAGTCTATAAGTATCTACAGGGGGAACAAATATTTAATAATGGGCTTTTCAGTCTAGCAGAGGAAGGTCTAACGAGAGCCAACGGCTGGAAGTTGAAGCTAGATAAATTCAGACTGGAAATCAGATGTACCTTTTTAACGGTAAGAGTAATTAACCATGGGAACAATTTACCCAAGATCATGGTGGATTCTCCATCACCGGCAATTTTTAAATCCGGATGGGATGTTTTTTCTAACAGCTGTGCTCTAGGGATTACTGTGGGCAGTTCTCTGGCTTGTGTGACACAGAAGATCTCACAAGGTCTCTTCTGGCCTAGGAATCTGGGAATCTATGTGAGGGAGCGTAAATCTGGTGAGAGATGTCTAAGGATTCAGTCCAGCTAACACCTTAACTTTGCCTCTGCTGCTTCCTACTGCGAGGAGTTCCGCTGACTGCAATGAGCATGCCCAGCGTAGCCAGCAGTGCACTCAGGAGTAAAGTGCCTGCAGAAATAGGCCCGTACTCATAGCATCCAAGCACTATAAGGTGGCTAATGGGATTTGGGAGCTTTCTAAGGAGATCAGAACCTGCACCGTGGCCCTGAGTCAGGAAAGAACATGAGCCACACTAATTTGAAGCATGTGTTTAAGTGCTATATTGCCCACAGCTGCTTTCCTGACCTGGATCTAAGAGCACCACTAATGCTACCACAGCATTTCCTTGGGGCCATATGCTGCGTGGGACCATATTTGTTAGTGAAATGCCCAATCCTACGTGAACCCATGTGACTGGGTCACGGGACCCTTGACGGTTGGCCCCGATGCAGGGGCTGGAGCTCCTTTTGGGATGGGTACCTAGTGATGCTGGCACAGAGATTCCGAGAGCAGGGGCTCACCCTGCCCTCCTCTGCTCTGAGTTTGTAGCAGGGGCTGGCTTTGACCTTTTGCTGGATCTTTAACAGCAAACGCTTTGCTCCCAACTATGTGTTGAGTGTTTGTGTTAACTAGAGGTTAATAAAAAACAAGACCATAAAACCCAGCCTGGCTAAATATCCCATCCCCTCTCAACTGCTCAGGATTTGCTTCCTTGGAGCCGGTGATGTCATAATGCCACGAGTTCTGGAGTCACCAGAGAGTCTCCCAGAAAAAGGAGAGTAGACACTACTTTAATTTCTAGGACTACAAAGAAGGAAGCAATATCATTTGGGGTGAAGGGGGGAACCTCTGCGGTCTTCGTCATCCATCGCATACTTCGAGTGTCTTCCCATCGCAGGTGGCTATTAGGTCAGAATCCTGTTGAAATAGAACTCAGTGATCTCTGTCTCACCCATGCGGTTGGTGATGTGGATGGGCTCGCTGCTCTTCTGAGAGGTGCAGAGAAACCAGCCCGGGTAGGCGGCCGACTCGAAGCGGTGGGTGCTGCCTTCAGGAATGTTGTGGAAAGTGAAGCGAGTGGCTTGCTCCTTGTCTTCAAATAATTCCATGATTTGCTTATTCTGAGCGGGGAAGAGAAAGGAAGATGCTGTGGCAGGAAGCTGGATTATTTCCTGGGAACAACATTCCCTGGGCGTTTAGCCCTTAGTTCTGCAAGTGTCTCTGTTATTCCCAACCAGTCTCAGGACCAGCTAGGATAACAATTATCAGCCTATTTGTGCATGGCTCGCTGTCTGCGACTGGTCATCAAAGTCACACGCTACTGATCCTGTTCGCTGATTGGCTGAATTAGTTTTATAAACAGGGGACTAAGAAATCGCAAATATCCCTGTTGGCAGGTGACAATGGATGGTTGTCTAGCCCTTCCCCAAACATTTATGGGAACATAAGCCCACTTGTAGCAGAGGCTTACCCGACTCTGGCTTTGGGCCTGTCTGCTGCCCCAGTTTCCCTTTCCTCCCCAGTTAACTGAACTTCACACTGCCAGTGTTTTCTCACTAACTCTCCCCTTCCGGGAGTCTGGTTTATTAGCACAAAGTTCTAAACACACAGATCTTCCCCCAGCCTTCCTAGGGGGCTCACCACCTCGGGCCCAGGCTCTGAGTCCTCTCCCTGCTGAGCCGTCCTTCCTAGCAGGTCTCTCTCCCAGCTCTTCTAGCTCTGCGGAGACCCCCTGCCTAGGTCTCCTTGCCGGCTCTTTCCTAGGAGTGGAGCGAGCATCCATCCCCAGGTCTGCTCTCCCTGCAGTCTCCTCTGATTGCCCTCATATCCCCCAGCAGGCCTTGTACACCTCATCACATGACCTTGGTCTTCATTCCCTCCACCCTGGCAGGGTCAGATCAAGATTAAAGGTCAGATCGCTCTGTGACTCTGTCCATACGGATGCCCATGAACCGTGCATCGCATGGGGCCACAAACATGGCAAATGGGGCAGCAGTTCAGAGCTCCCATGCATTTTATTGACCACCATTCAGTCCATATTGGACCAGCTCCATGGTGGAGAGAGAAGATTCCTCCATCACCTCCGCTGTCGGTGGCAAGGACAAATCCCGCTGAAAGTGAAAACAGTCAGTGCCAGCCTGTGGTTTCAAGGCCTGGGCAAGTGAGATCAGAAGCTGAGGGGCGGGGGCTGGACCCTGATTCCTCCTGCCCCCTTTGTGTCTCCAAGATGGAGCAGGGTCTTGGGCAGGGCCTCCTGCCCCTTAGCTTCTTGCTGCCCCCTGATGGGCACACGGGCCCCACTCACCAAGCTCCCACGTGGACAGCCTTATCCGGGAACCACGTCCACCCCACTCAGCCCCCAGCACTTGTCTGATCCACGAGGAGCCCCGCAACAGCCAGACTGGAGCAGCCCACGGCTCCGGCTACTTCAGGATCCCGTCCCTGGTGGGGGCCAGGAGCAGCCACCTCAGAGGAAGGTGCAAATTCTGTTCCTCAAGGCTGGTAGCTCCCCTGCTGAGGGCACTCACCTCCAGCTGCAGCTTGGGTTGGGCCGAGGTTCCGCATGACAGGCAGCTACTTCCTCCCTGGACGCCCAGGATGATGGGATACTGTTTGCCCTGTACGAACCGGTTGGGCACCACGCTGAGTTTCTCTGCAGGGGGAACACGAGAGGACTCAGGTCTCTAGACTGCCAAGAGTCACTTTACCACAGGGGCACACACATGGCAGGGGGAGGCAGCATTAATCCACCCCCCCAGGGAGCAACCATAAGGGTAGCCCTTGAACCACAGACCTGGCAGCCTCCTGCCCCACCCTGGCTCCTGCTCTGCATCGAGCCCCCTGGCAGAATCCGCTGGGCTGGGGAGAGCAAGAGGCTCTGCACTCAGATTTCCTCCTTGCCGGGCACTGCCCCGGAGAGGGCAACGCGGCCCTCAACCCCTCTCTGCCTCGGCCGGGGGAAAGCAGCAGCACAGCCAGCGGGAGTGGGAAACGAGAGGGGGTGTGGAGCTCACCGGGGTCAGAGTTGGAGGTCTCGGCCACAAGATTGTTGCTCTGCAAGCGGACGACCTTCTGCTTGACGTCACGCAGGGTGAAGATGAACGGCGTGGGGAGGTCCATAATAGTGGAACCACCCTCCTCTGGATGATGGGGAAAGGCAAAACATTAATGCAGGACCTTAACTGTAGAAATTCTCCTACGGTGACGAGGATGTCCGTCGTAAAGGGATCTGCCCCCCAGCAGCCCCATAGCTCCTTGCATTCCTCCCCTCCATGGCCCTGCAATGTCATAGCATTGCCCGGCACCCCATGACCCCTCAGTGTGCACAGTGAATTCAGCTCCTTCCCTCTTAACTTGTCCCCTATAAACTATCCCAGGGAGAGCTCCTGCAAGGAAGCAGGTAACTGCCTAGGGCTTGCTGCTGCCCCTTCATCCCGGTCCCCGGGCCGTGCTCCAATGATACAGACTGGACTCTAAGAAATTGTATCTCCCTTCTTCTGAGAGTTTTCCCCTGAGATATGACCATAAAGCAAGCTTCTAGATCCCAGGGGAGATGGTTTAGATTGCACATAATTCAGGGCACTGGGGCCAGATTCTTTTCTCAGTGATGCTGCTGTAAACTGGGGATGCAAGCAGAGGTACTGGAACAATTTGTATAGTGGGGGTGCTGAGATCCATTGAACTACACTGTAAACCAGGGGGTGCGGCAGAACCCACACTCCCCTAATTCCAGCAGCACCTATAGGTGCAAGGCCTGTTGTCTGACCCTGCCATGCCCCTCCTCGGTGCTGGGCCAAGGACAGGGCCAGTGCAACCATTTAGACAAACTAGGCGGCTGCCTAGGGTGCCTAGTGGTTGGGGGCGCCTAAAAGCCCACTCAGGCGAGGAGGTGGAGTGGAGGTGAGCTGGGGCGGGGGGGGGGGGGGGGGGGGGGGTGGGGGCGGGGCGGGGGGGGGGGGGGGTTAGCTGGGGGCGGGGGCGCAAGGTGGACGTTTCGCCTAGGGCGTGAAACTTCCTTGCACCGGCCCTGGCCAAGGACAAGAGTGAGCAGGAATTTGGCTGATGAGAAGGCAGAAAAAGGAGTTTTGCCAGGGAGCCCTCTCAGGCCCTGAGAGTCTCCTTTATCTGGACCCCGTGCCCAGAGACTCACCTTTCCTAATGAATGTGTCGAACAAATCCTTCATGTCTTTGTCCTGATTCCCACGTGGTTCACTCGGCTGTCCCCCTGACCCTGCTCCTGGCTGGAATGCCATTGTGGTGGATGTGTGCCCGGTGCCTGTCGTGTCCTGGTGGGAGTGGGGTGGCTGGGAAGAACAGATGGACACCAGCTCTCAGGCAGGCTGGTCCCATGGGGGGAGCCCCATGGGCCCTGCTGAGCCAAGATAGGGGCAGAGCAGGGCCCATCTTTGGCCCACTGCCCCCTTCAGATCTTGGCAGCCAGCAGTACATGGCATGGGGTGTGCAGGGGTGGGAGTGAGCCCCACCTGCCAAGCAACCTGATTGGCTTGGATCTTGATGGGCAGCAAATCAGGGCTTGTTCCTCATCTCACCTCCCTTGGCCCAGCTCCAGGGCAGCTCCCCATGGAATCGCCAAAGGGGCCGCCCCCCCCCCCCTCCCCATGGCCGCAGCAGGAGGAAGGCCGTGGACCAGCCACTGGCAATGCTGCCGGGGGTGGGATGCTTCCCCGCTAGGGCCTGGCCCAGGATGCAGCTGTGGGGGCTACGGGTGGTGACCCCTCTCTGCCGCTCTGAGAAGGCTCCGGACTGGCTAGCTGGGGCCAGGTTGTCAGCCCAGTTGCACCGACAGGGCTCGGCCAACCCAGGCTGCCCTACGCAGGAGGATCCAGGCCTCACAGCGCCCGTTAGCTGCTGGCAGGATGTGCTGGGCAAGGGGGGTTTCTCCAGCCAGGCCGGAGCCAGGAATGACAGACACTAGGGTCAGTTAGTAACTGACCCCCCCTTAACCCAGTGGGCCACTGGCAATCCCACCCCTCGCTGCTCTGCCCCTGACAGGCCCCTGGGGGTAGAGCCAGGGAACAGCCCCTGCAGAGCGGGCCCTAGAGCGGGTCCAGGAGGCCAGGCTGGGTCCACACCAAGAGGCTGTGACCCTTTGGGACCCGCTATGGCCCAGCGCTCTGCGTATCTGGCTGCCGCTGCCCCTGGGCTCGGCCGGGACTCTCAGCCATTTATACACGGGGCAGGGTGACATGAGCGCAGATCAGTACCGTGTGTGTGGAGGCCGATCCTGCCGCGGAGACGGGGCCCTCAGGGTCACTGGGGAAAGAACAAGGAGCTGTGAGATTTCTCTCCCTTGCGGGAGCCGAGGGTCTCAGACACGGGAGCTGCGTCTGCATCGCTCCCAGTTTACGCCTTGGTAGGAAATTACTGTCTGAGATCGTGAGCACAGACACTCTGCTGCCCTCCCAGCCCCGCTCCAGGCCCAGTGCCCCCTGCGCTGCTAGTTCGACTGCTCTCCCATGATGGGGGCGGGGAGAGATCTGATCAATTCTGGAATTTAGTACTCAGAAATTCCTTCATTTCTTCAACCCTCCGTCTCCCATAGCTAGCTTCTCTACCTTACAATGTCTCTTTCTCAAGATGTGATGTATGCAATCGATACCATGTGTAGTAACACACTCCACCCCGCCCCAGAGGTACAGCCACACCAGAGTTTATATCCACATCTGCTGTGTTAATATTGCAAAACGCCTCGATGGATGCAGCATTTCTTGCCAGAGCCACGGAGTCTAAAGTGCTGCTGTCTCCTAAAAGTGTTGTCTATACAATGGTGTAGTGGGGCGGCTCCCCCACTCCCGTGGGAAAAAGGTTAAAGTCAGCCCTAGGAGAAGGTTGTGGCTGAGAGCTGCTAAGCTGGGCTGCTTGGGGAAGCTGCTGCAGTTGGGCCATGCCCCAGTCAGGCCTGTATAAAAAGACTGTAAGGCAGGGACCCAGAAGAAGTCTCTCTCCAGGCTGGGAGAGAGCAGGACCTGGCTGCCTGCAGAAAGGGTATTGGGAGTGAAGCAGGGCTGGAGAGAGCCAGGGGAACTCCAGGCTGGCAACTCCCTAGGCTGCAGGGCCTGGTTCAAGGCCCATAGAGGTATTGGGAGGCAGCAGGTCCGAACCCCCTTGCCTATGATGAGTGGCTTTTACACTGAAGTCTGCCCCAGGGACCAGGGGCTGGGTGATGACTGGCAGTAGCCCAGACTGAGGCAAGGTGGGGATTAGAGGGTTGGGGGTTTCCCAGAGAGGGGAGACCCATAGAGACTGGTGAGGTATTGCCAGGGAGCAGGGGCAGCCCCAGGGTAAAGGGGCACCAGGGTCCGGGAGGGACACGGGGCCAGCTACAAGCGGGACACTGGCCTGCAGAGGGCACCCAGGCTGGAAAAGAGCTAATTCCCTGAGATGACCAGTAGGAGGCGCCGCAGGGGTGAGTCCCGCACCTTTACAGATGGGAACAGACTTACCTGGAGACTGTCCTCGGATCCGTTGGTTTTGTGAGATCTCTTGGCAGGGCTGATTCTGAAAAGGAAAGAGAGAATTGTTTCTTTATGCTCCCCCATCTGTCTGTATCCACCTGCTCCTACTTGGCTTATACTTAGATTATCAGCTCTTTGGGTTGTCTGTACAGCACCTAGCACAGCAGGAGACTGGGCTGGGACTAGTGCTCCTAGGTGCTACCACAATATAAATAAAATAGTAGAAAAGCATCCAGAGGACAAGCACAGTAACAAGCAAAGCTAGAGGAAGGGCCAAAACCATCTTGGGGGTTGCTGAATGCCCAGGGGCTAGCAGTGGAGGAGAGGAATGTTCCCAGCAGCAGATCTGTCAACAGCAATACCTGTTGGGCATCTAGTTTGAAGCTCCTTCTGTCACAGGCAGGCTCAGGCTGAGCTCTCTGTAGCGATCACCCAGCTATTTATACTGGGAGGAGGGGTGGGTCTCATGGGAGTGACTTCAACATGCAAATAACCCATGCATTAGGAAATCCAGCACGGCTAAATGATCCTTCTGGACCAACTGGCGGAGTAGTTGAAAAGAGCCAGATACCAACTCATCCAGGAGACTCACTCTGCAGATCCCCAACCAGGCTGGCTTCGCATAGCAGATGTCCCATTGTAGCTAATCGGCCACAGATAACTCATTGTAGCCCACTGGTGGGAGCACTAGGTCTGAGCACACTGAGATGCACCAAGTGCCATGAGCACATGGACAATGTGCTGCTCACACACTCAGGAAGAGGGCCTAACTCTGCTCTCAGTTACTCCAGTGTAGATCCAGAGTCACTGCACTGAGGGCCCGATCCAGTGCCCAGTATTCAATGGCAGTATGCCCACTGGCTCGGTGAAGAACACTACAATCGCAGCATCACGTCCGGAGGGCGCTTGTCTCCTTTGGTTGTTTACTAATTGTTCCCCCCGACCCAGTTCCCTATTGCTTGCCTAGCTTGGCAGGCCCAGGACTCCTGTAGTGGTCCCAGCAGCAGCAAAGCTGCAATCGTGTGACCACTGGTGAGCTTGGACTAGGAGATGCCATGGGGAGTCTCTGGTGTGGGTGTGTAACCCACTGGTGAGTGCGTGTTCCAGGGCCCCTCCGTGCCCGATCCACAGAGGAGAGGAGCCTGGGATGGCCCCAGCAAAGATACGAGGCTAGGCCAGGTCGGAAGGTCCCGAGGTGATGACAATTCCCCATGGAGGGTTACGCTTGAGATCGATCAGCGAGCCGGTATTTAATAGGGACTCACACAAAGGACTCATGACCCATCCCAGCGGGGGATGTATTCCAGAGACTTGATTTGAACCTGCAGTTTATTCTATCACTGCTACAAGCCTGAACCAAGAACTTGGCCATTACTGTATGGAATTGATTCCATTTAACCAATTCTAGCTCTCATCTATATTTTTTTCCTTTTATGAATAAACCTTTAGATTTTAGATTCTAAAGGATTGACAACAGCGTGATTTGTGGGTAAGATCTGACTTGTATATTGACCTGGGTCTGGGGCTTGGTCCTTTGGGATCACGAGAACCTTTTTTCTTTTACTGGGCTACTGGTTTTCATAACCATTCATCTCCATAGCGAGTGGCACTGGTGGTGATACTGGGAAACTGGAGTGTCTAAGGGAATTGCTTGTGTGACTTGTGGTTAGCCAGTGGGGCGAAACCAAAGTCCTCTCTGTCTGGCTGGTTTGGTTTGCCTTAGAGGAGGAAAAACCCCAGCCTTGGCCCCAGCCCTGCTTTAAGCAATTTGTCCTGAATTGGCACTCTCAGTTGGGTCCTGCCAGAACCAGCATCATTACACCAGAGATGAGGTTTGGGGTGAAGAAGGGGGCTCAGGCCTGGGGCAGGGGCTTGGGGTGTTGAGGGGGTGCGGGCTCCAGGAGTTTGGGTACAAGAGGGGACTCTGGACTGGAGCAGGGGGTTGGGGTGCAGGACGGGGTTCAGGATGCAGGGTCCCGGTAGCGCTTACCCAGGAAGCAGCCAGCAGGTCCCTGCAGTGCAGCCCCTAGGCGTATGTTCGGCCAGGGAGGCTCTGCGTGCTGCCCGCAGGCGTCGCCCCTGCAGCTCCCATTGGTTGCAGTTCCTGGGCAATGGGAGCTGTAGAGCTGGCACTAGGAGCGGGGGCAGCACACAGAGCATCCCTGGCTGCCCATGCGCCTAGGGGCCGCAAGGACCTGGCGGCCGCTCCCAGGAGCTGTGCGGAGCTAGGGCAGGCAGAGAGCTGCCTTAGTCGTAAGCCCCTGGTGTGCCGCCGACCGGACTTTTAATGCCCAGTTGACGGTGCCGACCGGAGCTGCCAGGGTCCCTTTTTGACTGGGTGTTCCAGTCGAAAACCAGACACCTGGCAACCCTATTCCCAACAGCATCTCCGAGCAGCTGGCCCCTCCCATGCGTTTGTCATCTTCCTCGTCACTGCAGAAGGCAGGACGGAGCAGAGTCTACGCAACATGAACAACTCAGGGCTTGAAGGGGAGACCAGCCCACTAACTCAGCCTGCTTGCTCAAGTTAAACCGGTGCAGCAATAGCCATACAAAGAGTTGTAAACACTTGGCCTGCCTGCACGTGCTTCACTTCCTTAGCAGTCAGGATTCAACGAGTTTCCTACTCATCCTGAGAGTCATCCTGGACAGGGCGAGGCCTGAATTTTGTCATTTGCCTCTGAACTTTGCAGTGGAGAATCAAACACAAAACACCTGCAAAACAAACACCTCTCAGGTCTTCACCTACTGCAAAGGAGCCAAAGCCCCATTTTTTT